AAAATTTATATTTGCAAAATCCCTACCTAAACAGTTGTTTAAGACTCTGTCAATTTTAAATGATTTGAAACGTGAAATATTAATTTATCAAATTTGTTAGATTCGTTAATTTAATCAAAGTACGCACAATGCTCAATGATATTTCTGTATTTTGAATAATTCCGACAAACAATAAAATAACTGATAATAATCAATTATCATAAATGATAATCAATTCAATTAAGCCTATTGTATGGTATGAATAATTAAAAATAAATGGAAAATATTCGATAATAAAGCAGAAACGATCGGATGAAAAAGAGAAAGATAATGGGAAAAGTACGGAAGCTGAACAAACAAAATCAATAAAGCGGGTTGTTTTGATAAAATATTCCGGATCCGTTATTTACTTCTCCGATAAAAGGTTGACATTCCATAATTCTATCTAAAAATCTCCATTGATTATATCAAACATTAAAAGTTGTTCGTTTAATAAGCGAATAACTTATCAACTTTTATATTTAATTGTTCAAGTTAATCATTTCAGTTCATTTTCCACTGCTAATTCATTGGCATTTGATGCCATTCTTGTGGTTTTGTAAATTTCATTTCTTTAATTGAATTTAGAGCAAAATACACACTAACGAAGACTTTTATTTACTTGTTGTTGTTAAGCTGATAAGAAACTTGTTAAGAAAAGTTGATAAGAAAAAATTTGAAAATGATAAGAAAATTTTCGAAATTGATAAGAAAACTATTCAACCAATAAGAATGTACTTTTTTTTAAATCGAAAAATTGAAATATGAAACTAATTCACCGAAAAGGAAAAACATAATTAGGAATAAAAGGATTTTGTATATTAACAATAACATCATAACTCACTGAATGATCTCGGATAGATTAAGATAATTTCAATCATATATATCCATTCATTGATTCATACATATTAGAAACCCATGAAAAGATAAGGAATCGATTAATCGGCATATTTTATCACTGATAATACCGATAAACTTCATATACTTCATGAAGTAATGATAAAATGATTGTAAAGATAGCATTTCAATAACAAATTTCTTTATTAATTTAATAAGTGATTTAATTTAATACTTGTATTACTTAAAAGTTTTACAATTAATTGTACGTAGCAATACAATGGTGAAAATATTCAAGGCGAAGGAAAAAATGACAATTTGAAATATTAATTAAAATCAATTGAAATTAAAGTCAATAAAATCAATTGAAATATTAATTAAAAATTAAATATTAATTATTCTATTAATTAAAGTATTCTATTAACTGCAATAATTAAATTTATTTTCGATCAAACTTTTCATATTTGAACATAAGTGTCTAATTATATCTTTGAATTTTGCATACAGATAAATGATGATAGAAAAGGATGATAATCGAGTATCAATAATATCAGAACTGGAAATGGATGAAAAGGATGAATTAATGTTGAAGATAATTGTGGAATTTTTGCATAAAAAAAAAGCAATTAAAGAATTTTTGATTATATTTCTTATCATTATTATCATTGTACTTGTAGTTATTATCATATTTACTCGAGAAAATACGGCAAATTTTATTGTTCATAACAAAAATTATAAACCACCAAAAAAGTGATTTTTTTTGGAAAAATAGCTTTTGTTCTATTTGTTTTGAAAACTTAAAAAATAGAAATTTATAACAAATTAATAATTGTAAATTAAATTTACTTCTTATAAGTTAAACTAATTACAAACAGATTTCTTGTCATCATTGTATTATCAGCATGTAATTATCAGTGTTAAAGTGAGCAACAAAAAAAAAAAAAAATGCTACCACTATTAATAACTGGGAAATTTGCTCAATTTGCTCGTCTTAATTAGATAAATGCAAATTTTTTCAGTGTTTAAATGCAATGGGACAATTACAAGGTGATCTATTTGTCACCATTTCAAGAATTATTAATTATATCAATCTATCAGTTATTGTACAATAAAAAAAAAAAAAAATATTGTTACAGGTAATCTTGCTATAATAAATAGGAAGAGAAATAAAATATAAATTTTGATCGTAATATTAATGTGACATAAGATGCTAATCATTAACGCGACGGTAATGTGACATACGAAGGTAACATTAACGTGACATATGAATGCTAATAGCTTACAACTTTAATATTTAACTCAACTTTCGTTTCATAGCAATATTCTTAGCAAATATTAGCATGAATTAATAAAATAAATAGATGTTATTTTTGTTTTACATAATTTATACCAAATTAATAAAGATAATTTGTGAAAAGTATTTTTTTTCTTCTGTCACCATTTGATTTGTTGTGTACATTAAAATAACTTCAATTTCTTTCATCATTTCATTCCTTTTCCTTTCTTTTTTTTATTTAATTACTTTTTTTCTTGTTCATTATTTTTGCTAATTTTAAATTTTTCTTGATAAATTTTTCAAATAGTTTTATATTTCCTATAATGCTTTAGTTGATTTTGTTGATAAGAAAGTTGTAATCATTCAATTAGTACAGAGATGCATATCAATGATATCGTTTGTATTTCATGATGACTAGAAAATGGCGTATATTTATGCATTCACTGGAAATATGATTGATAATTTTCATATTTGAATAAATTTTTAAATTTAACAAGATTTTTCAACAATAAATCGATGCTACAGCAATATTTGACCTATTTATAAGGTTTACAAGGATTTTTACTGAGTGATATATTTGTTGATCGAAGTTAAATATTGCTAAAATTTTAAAATCTTTGTAAAAAAAAAAATCAAATTTTTGATTTCAATATGAAAAAATTATTTCATTTCATTTTTTTTTTCATTTTTACATGTTGAATTTGTATAATTTTGGCAGATAATGAAAGGATTCATAAAAAAAGAAAGAAAAAGGCGAGGAAAAACGAAATGAAATTTTAATTAAGAATTTGCGGATTTATAAATTTGATAAATTGTTGAATAAATTCTTCAATAATAAATTACGCAACATTTGGTATTAATTTTAACTACTCTCATATGTTTAAATTTTTTTTTCTTTAAAATGATAAACTATAAACTTATGAATTTATAAATGTGTTAAAATGTTTAAATCAATAAAATTTGCATAAATCAATCTTTAGCATCATGTTTAATTAATTCCTCAATTAATAAAATTTGCATAAATCAATCTTTAGCATCATTTTCATCGTTGCTTTTGGCACCATTACTTATGGCTTCATCTTTTCATAAAGTTAATGAGTTCAACATTTTAACATTAACCATTACAATCTTTCATTTGCTACAGAAATTTAAATAAAAACAAAAAGAAAAAAAAATGCGAGTTATGCGATTGATAATGAAACTTATGCAATGGAATGGAAATTAAATTTGATAATTTAACCTGAAATTGCAATCAAATTTTTTGGTCAAATTTTAATTTGTTTGTTGAAACTTGGTGACAAATTACCAGCCATATTAGCCTTACCATATTTGCAAAATTTCAAGTTTAGGATTAAAATTATTTAACCAACCGATATTTGTTGCTGCTAAAATTTCAACTTAAATGCTTCAAACTTATTGATATATGTCCTCTTCGGTGCTTAATTTTAAATTTATTCATTGTTCCACTCCAAAAAAAAAAATAATATTTGTTCAACTAGCCGATATTTCGATTAGCAGCATATCATTCAAATACGTTCTATCAAATCATTTAATTTCCTATCTGTAAAAAATTTAATTTTTTTTCAGCAAAATTTAAACAAGAATTATATCATAATTTTATTACTTTCCATTTTAAAAAAAAAAAAAATGTTCCGTGAAGGTATCAAAATACAAGTAAATTATAATTTGTTTTTTAATCTTTTATTAGAAACACTCGGTTGATTTTATTTAATATTACAAATTAATCAGTCGTGTAATTTTAGGCTTATCACTTATAATCATCACTTTTTGCAACTTTTAATTATCCCTCCCCTTATTATCATTGAAATTTCAATGAGTTGCATTATCATTTTAATATACTAATGTTTTGTTTATTTGAATTTTGAATAAATGTAACAAAAAATCCATTTCCGAAAAGTACTGATATAAAAATACTCAATCAATTCTTTCTTTTGAAATAGCAAATTGTAACGCTTTTTTTTTATTAATTAATTATTTGGTATTTAAATAAAGAAAAATATGAATCGAACTATGGAACTGAAAGAATGGACATTATATAAAATCCGTGAACTCTTATGTCACATAAAAATTCATTCAATAAAATTTGAATAAATCTCGTACATTTCAAAAAAATGTTCAAATGAGATAGTAATACAATGTGTTAGGCCTGATTTTATTTGTCAGATAAATAGTTGAGGGATAATTAGTTCTTGTGGATCTTCTTTTTCTTCTCGACATTTCCTTATCATAATTTCCGATTGATTGATATGACAGGATGATATGTTAAGCCTGATTTTATCTATCAGGTAAATAGTTGAGGAATAAATAGCACTTGTGGATCTCTTTTTTCTTCTCGACATTTTCATATCACATTTTCTGATTTATTGATATAATAGCATGATATGTTAGTGATAACTGTTACAATATCATTGACATACACAAATGCAATCATTGGTTAAATTACTTCATATGAATTGAACATGTAAATAAGTTGAGCAATTAAATCATTAGTAAAAAAGTATCAAAGGTCAAACAATGATTTTTGTTTTATTGAAATATAAAATTATTTTGTCAGGTTTTTTTTTTTTTATTAAATGGTATCATCATCTTTATAATCACTTTTTTCTTTTTATAAATAATCAACTAAGCAACAACAAGTAAATAAAAGCCTTCGTTAGTGTGTATTTGCTCTAAATTCAATTAAAGAAATGAAATTTACAAAACCACAAGAATGGCATCAAATCCCAACAAATTAGCAGTGGAAAATGAACTGAAATGATTAACTTGAACAATTAAATATAAAACTTGATAAGTTGTTCGTTCATAAAACGAACAACTTTTAATGTTTGATATAATCAATGGAGATTTTTAGATAGAATTATGGAATGTCAACCTTTATCGGAGAAGTAAATAACGGATCCGGAATATTTTATCAAAATAACCCGCTTTATTGATTTTGTTTGTTCAGCTTCCGTACTTTTCCCATTATCTTTCTCTTTTTCATCCGATCGTTTCTACTTTATTATCGAATATTTTCCATTTATTTTTAATTATTCATACCATACAATAGGCTTAATTGAATTGATTATCATTTATGATAATTGATTACTATCAGTTATTTTATTGTTTGTCGGAATTATTCAAAAATACAGAAATATCATTGAGCATTGGCATACTTTGATTAAATTAACGAATCTA